TCGACGTGCTCCAGCGCTGGACGCTGAAGAAGCGCCTCGAGTGGTGGGTCAAGACGCGCGTGCTCCGCCAGGACCGGGACGGCATCTCGTGCGTGCCGCCCGCGCAGTACGCGCGGCGCTTCATGGACAAGATGGCGGACCTGCTCCTCGGCGACCACGCGGCCTAGGCGCCCGGGCGATGGCGGCGGACCCGCTCCCCGGCGACCGCGCGGCCTCGCTCAGGGCGGCGGACCCGCGCGCGCCCCGTAATGGCCTCCGCGCGCGTTACACGGCGCAGAGGGCCGCGGCCCCCGCGGCGGCGAGCGCGGCGAGCGCGGGCGCGGCGGCGGCCTCCTCGTCGTCGTCGCCCCACCGGTAGGCGTAGGCCGACGCGTACCACGTGGACGCGTCCGCGAGCACGTAGACGGTCAGCGTCCCCGCGCCGGAGCTCGCGGGCGGGACCCAGTCGACGCGCGCCGACGTCTTCGCGGCCTCGTCGGCGTTGCCGACGCCGCAGGCCTGCGACTCCGCGTTCGCCGACGACGGGTAGAGGGCCCCGTCGGACGCGACGAAAAGGAAGCCCACGAAGTCGTCGTAGCTCGTCAGCGTGTTGACCTCGAACGTCACGGACTCGCCGGGCGCCGCCGCGTACGTCTCGTCGGGCTCGAGGTACTCGTAGTCGCTCACGACCTGGAACGCGCCCGTCGTCAGCTCCCCCTGGCTGGCGCCGTGGGCGCCCTCGACGGGGCCGTCGCAGGACCAGGACTGGGCGCCCCGCGCCGAGCGCGCAACGAAGAGCAGGCACCACCACCGGCGCATGGCGCCGAGAATCGACGACGACGGCTGAGAGCACGACGACGAAGGCGGTAATCGATGCTCGAGATGTGGTCGAGGGGCAATCTTAGTGCACCGTCCACCTCACTCTTCCGATATTAGAATACTCTTTGCGCCGCAGCCCCGCGACGATGCTCGTCGTGAGAACTCTCGCCCGCCGCTTCTCCGCGGCGGCGGCCACCCCGCCCGCGGACCTGAGCCGCTACGGCGCGGTCCTCGGCGGCGCGCGCATGGACGAGGCCTGCGCCCGCGCCTTCGACACGTGGCACGGCTGCGTCGCCGGCGCTCAACAAGACGCAGGCGCGCCGCTCGAGCGGCTCCGGGACGTCGTCGCGGACGACTGCGTCTTCAAGCCGCCGACCTACTACACGCCCTGGGCCGGCGGCGACGAGACGACGGTGCTCCTCGCCTGCGCGGCTGAGGTCTTCGGGCCGAGCTTCGCCTACGGCCGCCAATGGGTCTCGGAGGACGGCCGCGAGCGGGCCCCAGCGTCCTGTCACGATTTCCGAGAGATTTTGACCGGGAAAACGATGAACAATCGTCACCGACGTGCTTGGTAGGTGGGCCCTCGAGTTCTCCGCGGACGTCGCGGACACGGGGAAGCGCATCGACGGCGTCGACCTCGTGTCCCTCGACGGCCACGGCAAGATCAAGGAGTTCGCCGTGCTCGCGCGGCCGCCGAACGGCGTCGCCGCCCTGAAGGACGAGATGATGCGGCGCGTGCCGCCGCGCATGCTCGCGTTCAAGGCGCGGAGGGCCCTCGGGTTCTAACCGCTCCGTGGGGAGGTGGCCCTTAGGAGCCGAAAAGAGGGGGGGGGGGAGGGGCTAGCATTCTTCGCAGGTCGCCAGGCACGCGTGCTTCGCTTTCAC